CTTTCCAGGAACCGCGTCATGTGACAGCGCGCCTGCCCCGCCCGCCCAGCAGCTGCCCCCGCGCCGCGGGGTCTGCTGCGCTCCCCTGCCCCGGGACGACGGGACCGCCGAGCCCCGCTCCCCTCAGCTGAGGGGCGGCCGGCTCCCCCGGGAGGCGGCCCCGAGCTGGGCCCTCCGTGTCACCCCGTCCCCGGGGGCTCGGCGGAAGGGAGTGGTCGCCTCCCGCCCCTCACAGCAAAGCAGGGCATTCAGACAAAGAGCCACGTCCCCTTGAGCCCCCTTGAGAGCCCCTCCCTGGGCGAGACTTGTAGAGCTTTGGGAGGAAACGCCGGGTCAAACTTAAAATAATATTTAAAGGTGAGGGGGACAATCGCTGGGAAGCCAGCGGGGGCAACACAGGGATACAAATAATAATAATAATAATAAAAAAACAGAAAAACCTTTCTTGGAGGAAAGGGGCAAGGGAGTGAGGGGCAGAGCTTTGTCACCCGTGGATGCTGGAGGGAGGGAGAGAGGGACAGCGAAAAAACCCCAGCCCAACCCAGGTCCCTCTCCCTTGCAGCCTCCGCTTGCTGCCCCCGCGCCACGCGGGAGACCAGGAAATAGACCTGTGGGCTGACCTAGGGAACGGCAATTTTTATGCTCTTTAAATTCAAAATGTTAATCCTGACATTCAAAACCCCTTTCTGTGGGGAGGCACATCGTATAGACGGGAGCCTCTGGCATAGTCTGCAGCTGCCAGCATGTAAGCAAGTCAAGGCTTGAAGTCTAGCACGGATAAGGTGATGTGAACTTAACTACTGAAAAGTTCACTAGGTAAAAGGAGTTGGGTAGAAAACGTACATGGTTTAACGGCAAATGCTGATGAGCCATTTTTATAGGGGCCGTTGTCTGTTTCTGAGGTTGCAGTTTTTCCAAAATCAGTCTGAGGAACTGATCCAAACAGAGGTGGTGAAAGAGATTATTTGTAATCTCTAAAAATAATTTTGAGGAAGTGAAGGGATCAGAGTTAGTTTTGTTCAGTTTTGCTAGCTGCTAATGACCAGTGTTAATGGTTAACTAATCATGACACCAATTCCCGGGGCTCAGAAATACACTTCACAAAACGATCCAGGAACATCTGGCATTGCGGGTTTCTATAAGGTCTCCCTGAGTTTGGGCAAATGGATTTTGTTTCTGAACCAAAAATTGGCTGCCAATATTTCAAATGCAAAATGTTGTCTAAAAACCAAGCAGGGCTCCTTCTGATTCCTGCATCCTCAGGCAGGTTGTGAAAGCCTGCTTTCATCTGTTCAGTTAAAATGTTTTTAAATGCAGCCTTAGTTGTTCCTGTGGAATCCACTTGTTTTCAAGTGGGGGAAGAACATGTCCCACATGGTCCCCAATGTATTTAACAATTCTGCTCTCAAGGTGAGAGCTTGAGTTGAATTTATTTCACCCCTTCAAAGCTCTGTTGGCTCTGGAGTGGTAACAGCAGGAAAATAAAATCAATAAAAAAAAAGTATTTTTGCTGCTAATAATAGTAGTGAGTATATGCAGGGAGCCGAGCTGTTACTCCAAGAGATACTATTTTAATACAGATGCTTTTAAAATTAGGACTACATTTTAAGGCCTTCTGATTCATCTTAGAAAAGCTTGTAATGCCTTCCATCTAGAGACAAAACAGCCTTTATTACGGATCTTCTGTGCATATCTTCTCCCATTTTATTTATGTCATGTATGTAGACAGGCTTCCTCTGCTCCTGCTGTTTTTTCCTCACTTGAACCACTACTAGCTGCTGTGAAGATGATTATGATGTCACTAAAAGGAGATTGCACTAGAATACAGGTAGAAATAAGGACAGAGGAAATGTTCAGAAAGAAATAACTTGTTTACATTTGAATGCCACTATACAATAGATACAAATTAAAAAGGCACGTTATCCGCAGAATGTTTCAAATAGTATTTTGTACCCAAGTTTTCCATGAGAAATTAATGTCTTTTAAAACAAACTGTTAAGGGACTTGCCAATTTATAAGACTGATGACATTCAAAATTACAGTTGCAAATCCATTTCTAAATCATATTTTAGTACCTCATTACTGCGACTCATTACATGTTAAAGTTTATCCGCTCTTTTGAGATCTCTGTAAGTACTGCAGCTTCAGTGGGATAAATTAATTCTTCACTATTCCTTTCTATAATCTGATGTTTTGCCTTGCCTTCATGAGTCTTTCAGTCAGTCATGGGGAAGATAAAAGGTTTTGGGTTTTTTAAATATAGGAAAATGTGATTAAATTATTGCAAATTGCCTGTAGGATTTAGGGGCACATGCACTGCAGTAAGTTAAGTTGCCTTAAACTCCCTTGCTAAAGGGTTGTCATTGCAAGTCAGTGTTCCTTCAGCTTCTTTGGCAGTTATATTTTTGAGGCAAACACTGTCTGCCGTGGATGTTGTGCTATGTAAGAAAATCGCAAAGAATGGAGGAGGAGGAAAAATGGAAAAGAAAGAGATAGGAGAAAAGCAGCAGTGTAGTGAACTCACTCTTACGACTTGCTATTTATTTGTGCAGGCAGGACAAGGATTTTAATCTGTCCCATTTCTGAACAATCACAGATGTGAAGAGAAAGAGAGGAACAGGGATTTTAACCTAATTCACTTTTTGGTTCAAGGTATTTTTTTATTTTACCTCAGTTTAATGGAATAATTCTAGGGCAACATGTAGTGCACATGTTTAGTTTCAGTTCTTTGAGTATACAGACTCTAATTAATATTCTGAATTTTTTCTGAGTTGGCTTTTAGGACAGTTTGTCCAACCAGAAATGTATAAGCCTGGATTTTAGGAATCTCCTGTCACCATTACCAGGCACTTTCTAAAGTGCATAAATCTAGTTGATCTGTCTGACTCTCTGTCCTCTAGCTGAAATTATTTATATACTTTTGTAGCAATATTAGATGAATACTGAGAATACTTGCATGTTCAAATCTCTTTTCACATGCAAGAATACTTGCATGTGAAAATCAGAAGTAGAATGCACTGGTATTTCTGACTTGCTTTTAGTGAATGTATTCACAAAGATGAGGGTGGAGGAACTGGATGATTTATTTTTGTATTTTCCCCTTTAAGCAAAAAAACAAAAGAGAGAATGCTTTCTCATAACAGAGGAGGGAGGTAACAGCACTTGGCAAAAACATAACATGTTTTGCTGGAAATGATTTTACTTTGTTCCTGAAAAGTATGCTATTTATTGGCAGGTTAGGACAGTGTTTTACGTGTGTAATATGAAATTAGTGGAGGAGGAGGTGAAGAGAATTCAGTCCAGATTATTGGTTACAGTAAATTTGTTTTCTTGTGCTAAATAGGCATAAAATGGGTTTATCCAGCTACCTAGTGGAATACATAGACAGTGTAGTTGGGCCTTTCTTAACCTCTGTCCCTACTTCTTTAAGCCTCAGCACAGGACATAGCCAGGTCATTTCTGTACCCTGATATAGTCTCCAACTGCTGGAACACCCCATGGCCACAATTTTTCCAACTATTTAGTTGGTCTAATAAAAAATATCACATTTTACCCAAAGAACCTTGTCTGCCCATGTCCAGAAGACATTTTTCCTGGTTAAAGAGGCTCAGTATTGCATCTCAGATATCCCCAGTTACTAATCATTTGCTGTGTTTTGGCAGGTCCTTAGCTAAACTCATTAAAATCACACATTATGAGTACTACTGATCATGCCACATCCTCCTTACAGCAGCAAAACAACCAGCCCATCTCCTGAGGTGAGAAATGTGTTTATCAAGTTTCAGTTCCATGCAAATTATAACAGTTTTTAGATGCATGCTGAGAACAAGGGTTGTGCTAGACACCCTTAAAGACTGAATGCCTGACTCTGCAGGAAGCAGAAAGTCGGTTTATTTCACAGATTGTTTTTGTTCTTTCTGATGCTTCCATGGATTGAGTTAAATCATTCCTAAAAAGTAAATAAATACAGCAGAGGGAAAAGCAAATAGTTGTGTAAATGGGATTGGCCTGCTCTTCTGAGCTGCTAAAACAGCAGAATGATTCGATTAAATAAACAATCATTTTTACCAAACAATGTTCATGTTAATCTGTTGCCAACACATTTCCTGCTATTTTGGCTGCTCTTTATTCTTAATGTTCAATAAGAATGCAACTGTGTTAACTAAGAATCCTTAGTGGTTCTGTATACTTCATCACCTTTCTCCTATGACTCACTGGTACTTTCAAAGACACTTGTTATGGGGGGAAACACATATGCACACATAAATTGGGAGATACTAGAATTAAAGGATAAAATACAAGAAAGAAGCTTATTTTCCTGCAAAGATTGTGATGATAGATGAGGATTATTTTCTCTTGCTGGCTGGGTTTCTCTTGCTGGTTAGCTGGAGGGTCATCAGCAAGTCTAGCACTGCAACTATTATCTTTATCTTGGTCTTTCACTTTTATTAGTTTTTCAGCCTTGGCAGTGGAAGTAGTTAGTGTGTGAATGTGTAAAGCAGAGCACTCAGCATTTTCTGTGAACTTCATGATGTGCTTTCTGTTTTATAATGTGATATCACCAGGTTAGCGTCGTTTTAGGTCTCTGAAACATACTTGGAGAACTTTTTAATATAGAAACATATCAAAATGGCTATTTTCATATAGGCTTTGTGGGTATGTATTAGCATTTTAAAGTAAAATAAACTTACAATTAGAAGTACTAGCATATGGAAGGTGGAATCTGATGGCACAGAGAACCAAATATAAATAATAGAATTTACACAGCATAAAGATACTATACACAATGCCAAATTCTGTTCCTTGGCTTTTCTATGTTGTAGAATCCTATACAAACACACACTCAAGATAGGTAAATGTTTCAGAAAGCACCTGTGAACATTTGTTCACATTTCTAAATGAATTTGCTCTGGCTGTCTGTTCACCTCTGGCATTCTCTTTCTGTGATATTTTAGCAAATGACTTCACTGGCAAAAACATTCATAGAAACAGCACTTTGTAAGCAAACATTGGAAAATATACACTGAATTTTAAGGATCAGATCACAATGCATAAGAAGGTACCTGGTTTATGGATGTTAAAGAGGGCACACATTTCTCTGTAGAAAAATACTCCCTTGATGTTCAGATATTTTTGAGAAATATGTATATACACACTCTCATTTCTCTCTCCACAGATCCTACAGATAGGACAGCTGGAGTCAGATGATATTTCAGTACTGCTGTTCTTGAAGTTGCCAGAGAAAAAAAAACAAGACTTTATACCTGAAGGAGCTCAAAAGCCTTTTGTTTCAGTTGGTAACCCTATTTTTTTAAATAAAAGGAGGAGTAAATGTTTGTGAAACAAGCTTTTCTAGCATATAATGTGCATGCAGCCTTCCTATGCCCTGATGAACTGTAGGTAATTACCATTTTGTTGGTGGCAAAGAGTCAGCTCTGAAGCTAATGTGGAGAATTAAAGCAGAATGTACAGCGGGCAGCACCAAAGAAAGTCTGAATGTACAAAGCAGAGAGAGAGCATGATGAGCTATCTGACTCATTGGTCTCTGGTCAGAATAAGAGTATTAGAAAGCCGAACTGCTGTTCTAATTCTTGTCTTAAGATGGTTTCAGTCACACTGAACTATTTGGACTTGAAGATGGATTCCTGACAGTTCATTCTTTAGAGCAGTACCATGGAAAGATGGTCAGATGAGGATCATACCAAGAATGCTGTGAATCATCAAATGGTTTAGGAGACAAAGGATTACTTCCTTCATTTCATTATAAACAGAGGCTGGACATGGAATATCATGCTCACAAGCCTGAACAGTTTGTACTTTTGTTTAATTATGTGTATTAAGACACAGCTGATCCCTGAATAGTTCATCTGTGCTATTTTCTGCCCAGTGCCTCTCCTGGGTCTCAAGGAGGTCTGTTCCTTTGCAGCTGATATACAGCTTGGGAAAAAATGAATGAGGTTCCCAACTCCAGGGTCCTTTAGCTGACAGTTCTGTGAAGGAACTGAAAGCCTGAATGAAGAAAAAGGGGCCTTTGAGGTTAAAAAAGTTCCCACAGGGTACCCAGAGTGTTGCCTATGATGGGTGAAGACTTCATTTGCATGATTCCACAGTCAAGCAGTCTTATTTCTTATGGCTGCAGGGTGGGTATAGAACTCCTCACTCAGGATGACCATGCCCAGGATTGTCTAGCTCAGACATGACTGGCAAGTGTGGCTGTGGTAGCCCTTTCTTCCATGAATAAGGGATACCATTTGGTCCAGTGTAACCAAATTCAGCGGCACTGTCATGTGATATGTGCTTGATCACTCTCATTTTTTAAGCAATATGTATGAGAAACCATACATGCAATATGTATGAGAACCATACACTATGTATGAGAAGCCATACATATACGTTCAGGCAAGATTTCTGTTTGCTCTGGGCTATTGTCATGCATTTACACTTTCAGCACTATTTTTAGCATTTTCTCTTCTGAGCTCGCTTGTCTGATAAATTATTCCTTTGGGAATAAATTTGATCTGGAAAGATGCCTAAGGCAAAGCAGACTTTCCAAATTGTTTTTCTGGCCACATCAATTTAGGCATAGAGAGACTGCAGCACCATCTGCTGTGGAGTAGTCTGAATTCTGGGAAACTGCTGAAAGATGCATTAAACCATGGAACAACCGTTTTACATAAGATGTTGGATATGGTGCAGGACTCTGACTGAAAGGGGGCCAAGAATCGAGTCTCTGGTCCAGATTTGTGACAGCTTTGATGTTTACTGAGGGCACAAACCAAACTTAGTTCAGGCAGAACTAGCCAGAGGAGGATCATCCCAGGTGTGCCAGCATCCAGAGACACTCTCTCTAGCTGGTCCAGATAACTTTTTTTTGTTCTTTAGGTGTTTATTACAAAAATGAATATACATTACTGTAGAGGAAGTCAAACAGAAGGATGTATCTTCAGTTAGTTCACTCCCCAAATCTCTCTCCTTTACCTAATTTCAAATGTAACAGAGAGGAAGCTTTCCACATCAGATTAGGAACTCCATTTTTGTTAGTTTTTTTAACAGGTTTAAATTTGTGCATGAACAGTCTATTATGCAACATCCTCAACAGAAGCCCTTCAGAGGACTGAAGAACAGTACTGATACCAGAAAAGCTGTGTATGTCTATACCAACCATACTGTTGGTCCAATGAAAGATATCACCCACAAGAATTCTTGCCTTTTGCACATCTCCTGGACCAGGAGATGTTGAGGCAACAATATCACCTCAACACTATCTTCTCAGGAAAGAAATTTGTTACTTTGGAGGAGTACTGTCACGAAGAGGTATCTAGGGTTTAGATAGGCTTAGGTGAACTTAGATGGGCCAATGGCTAAGTCATTCAGTCACCCATTACAGAAATGCTGAGAGCAGGATGATGCTTTGTATAATTATTGACAGATGTCCACAGGACCTGCACCAGAGAAAGGGCGAAAGAAACTGCTTGGCCTAAGATGCTGACAAACTTTGGATGTACTGGAGGGGTGATCTTAGGTGAAAAGAAGGAATGCCTGAAGACTTTGGTGCCATATTTTCTCATATACCATACCTACTGTATCTTGTTTTTGGGAAGGCAGAATGAAGAAAATTTTTTTTCCCCAGGATTATAACTGCATAGAACAGGAACAGAGCCTAATTTCACCTAACTCACCCTCCCTTTCCTGCCTAACTGAAGCTAAAACCCTAGCTACTGCTGAAGTTTGGTCTCGGATAGATGTCTGATAGCGAAAAGCGCTAAATAGTCTCCAAGTCTGTGAAACAGGAGAGAGACCAGGAACAGGTAGCAGACAGCAAAATTGGGCAAACAAAGATTGGCTTATTGCGTGGAACATCAGAACCATTAAAAAGGCGAGACTATGGTTAACACCTGTTGAGTGAAGAATGATACACCATTAAGTCAGTTGACTCCCTCAGCTGCCTGAATAGTAGGGCTACTGCTGCTACACAGTACAGCAGAAATCAAAATAGGGATCTTCTATTTCAGGCAGGAAATCAGTTTTACTGCTTAAGACAGGCACCACAATTTTTGGGGGGTTGATTTTGGGGGAAAAGATACATCTGCTATGCAAGCAAATAGAGTGTTTTCAAATACCTACAAATCTTAAGAATTTAAAAAAGCACAGTATATGTAGTTAAGACAGTCCTTTGCTAAGGGATTTTCTTGTTTTTGTGCCTCTTTGCCCCTACTCATGCTGTTCATAGCCCTTGTTGCAGGGACAGATAAAGAGTAACACAAATGTTCAATAATCAGCTTTATCTTTGATTAGGAACTCACAAACCAACAAAAGCTGAGGAGTGAAATGTTGCCTTTGTAGAAGCTAATGGTAGTTTTGACTTCAGTAGAGCCAGGATTTCACCCTATTGATCTGATCCTGAAACTCCTAACCTTCTGTTATTGGCCACACAAGTGAATCACAGAAAAAAGAGCTTGTTCTTTTGGCTTAATTTGGTACTCCTTTCTTTTTAGCCTTTCTTTTTGTGACTCTCTACCATGGGCATCCAAGTATCTGTGTTGTACAATGATACAGAGATAACTCAGACAAGAGTTTCAGCTGGTATGGATCAGTGTGGCTGTATTAAAATCCAGGAAGCTACACTAATTTACACCAGCTGAGGATCTAACTCACTATACATTTGTACATGAGAATCTATAACTACTTCAGTTCTTTGTACGCTTGAGCAGATTACATCAGTGGCAAAGTTCCCTGTGTCAGGCAATGAAAAAAATCTAAGGAAGCTCCAGGGGATAGTTTATGTGCTGAATACTGCACAATAGATTAGCTCTGGGATCTTCATACAAAACTCTTCTCTACAGGATCAGGCCCTTAGTGTGAAAATCTTTTACACTTATGGGAGAAACTGGTAAATGAAACCTATTGAACAAGTAATGTGTGTGGCCAGCAAAGCCTATGCATTATTCTTGGGGTTGCTCTTTAAAAAACAAAACCCTTAAAAAAAAATCAGGACACTTAAAAAGTATACAGAAGATTTTACACATGAAAAAGCATTTTACATATGAAAATAGCTCCAGTGCCTCATTTTTTTTAAATGAGTATTTTCTTTTCTGAAAATTACCAAAATGGTTTCCCTACTTAGATTATTTAACTACCTCACCTTATCAGTAACTTTTCAGTAGCACTGATCAGGGCAACAGAGTAAGTCTATTCAGAAATACCCACGAAGGGAGTAGAGGGAGTTCTGATCTAATTCTTTTTTCTTTTTACTTTTCCAGCAAGTTTTTAAAACCTTTATGTTTATTTTTCTGTCAGATGTGTCTACTGGGAGTATTATGGTAGCCTTCCTTGGATCTTCAGAAGACTGAGACGTAAAAAACATTAAAGACTAGTGATCTTTGCTTCATTTCGCTCATACTGGTGTTCATTATTTAAAGGGATGTTCATTTCTGTAGCAGTGAGTGCTACCAGATACAGTTGTTGGAGTGGGAGGTAAGTGAGGCATAAGGAATAATCCTAAAGCCACTTGCTGCTCTACAGCTGTTTCTTGGCTGAAGCACCCTATTTATGGAGGATTAGAATGAATCTGGAAAGGCCTATACAGGAGTGAGGGAGGCAACCACTCATTTACATATACCATATTTACTTGAATACAAGATGAGGTTTTTTTCCCCTTCAGCAGGAGGGAAAAAAGCCTCTCATCTTATATTTGCATACAAAGCAGAGGGGAGAGAAGACTGCTGAGCCTGAGCTGGGGCCAGTCAGACCCACAGCAGCTTCCTGCCCCCACCGTCCGCTAACCGACGAAACACTCAAGCAGTAAGCCTGTGCTGAGCTCTGTGCTGCTGTAGATACATGCCCTGCACTGCAGAGTTTAAAGCTAGCGTGATTATATCTGGTCAACAGGAGCTGTTGATGCACATTTGGACCAACTTTAAACTCCCCGGGCGAACTGCTTGAGCATTTAGTCAGGGTACTAGGTGGGATTTGTTTCCTGTACTAAGCCCAGTGGTGTTACAGCTATACTGTCATTAAACTGGCTAGCTCGCATAAAAAAAGTTAGCTTGGGTATGTCTACAGAAGCTGTAGGCTCACCTTTTACAGCAGTGTAAATTCACCCTGCCCTTGGGTAAGAAAAGGGCATCTTTAATGGCACACTGATAAATTCTCATACAGTGAAGTCATGGGCCAAAATCCTGGCCTTACCAAAATAAAAGGCAAAATTCTCATTAACTGCAGTAGGCTCCAAATTTCACCTTTGGATTCTGCTTCTACGAAGCCTCTTTGCAGAGCTTCTTGTGAACGTGGAACATGAAACTATTGCAGTATGTTCCTGAGAGTTTTATACATGCACTTTCATAACAGCTGAAGGATGGGGATCCTTCTTAAAATGTGAACATTTATCACAAGAATCAGGTATTCCCTGTATTTGTCATTACTTATTTGATCTTTACAGTAACAAGCTATCAGAACTGTAAGGTTCTTCTGGCTACTTCTGTTCTATGACTTTGCCTTTTGTGATAGGAAAAGCTAACAAACTGTAGCATATTGAGTATAAAATCTCATTTAGACTATACCTTGCATCAGTCA